GGAGTTGGTTTAAACATCACCCACAGAAGGATGTTAAAAGTGAGCTGGGTTTTACACGGTGTTTTGCATATTCAAACAATAGCCCAGTGGGGGACACTGGAAATGGACTTCACACATTGTACCCTTGTGGGCAATTGACCCAGGTCTTCTATAGTCTGTTTGCAGTGAAAACGTACCGGTGAATTTCACTTTAAACAAAAATGTAAATCGAATACAGTGAAATTAAGATTGCGAATCCTCATAATTCTACTTTGCCAATTTAAAAATTATATCTTAGATTTTTATTCAACTTAGGAAAAAAGTTGTTTAAAAAACGATCATTGTTTCAAATCGCTTATATTGGTTTGTATTACAAGGGGGTAAGCGCAGTGGTTTGGAACAGTGAAACAAATGCACGTGCGGTACGTGATGAACGTTAACTTAGACCAACCCTCCTTGTTCTCGGTGTTTCATTTAATGTGCATACCCCCTTGTAATACAAACCAATAATAGCGATTTGAAACTATGATCGTTTGTTAAACAACTTTTATCCTAAATTGAATAAAAATCTGAGATTTAAATTTTGAAATGGCAAGGTAAAATTATGAGGATTCGCAATCTGAATTTCTCTTTATTTGATTTACATTTTTGTTTAAAGTGAAATTCATCGGTACGTTTTCACCGCAAACAGACTATACATGACAAGCAATTGTTTCTCCACTCCAGCCGGAGGATGAGAGGAACTATGGAATTTTCAATAAGATATTTCCTGAATTTCTGAGTTGTAGGAAACAGACACATTGGTCCAAGCTCACCTCAAAATCAAGCATAATACTAACTGACCTCCTCGAGACTCTGCTTAGCACAGTCTGTTAATACCAGGGATTTACAGGACGCGAATTCCTGCGTCCTATACACATAAGTTACAGCCCCCCATTTGTCTTGAAAGATGATAGATGGGAAAATGAAAACATTTAGATTTTTAGATTAGTTGTGTGTAAAAAGGCAACAAAGGATGGAACCGCCTCCGTGGTGTAGTGGTTAGAGCATCCGCCCGGAGAGCGGAAGGTCGCGGGTTCGATCCCCGACCGCATCATACCAAAAGATGATAAAATATGGTACTTGTTGGTCCCTGCTTGGCGCTCAGCATTAATGGGTACAACAAGGACTGGTCGTCTCGGAGTCAGTATAATGTCTCTCAGTGGGGTATTCATGCTTCACTGCGGCATGGTATCTCAGTAGGCTAGCACTATAAAACCAGCTTAAGGCTGGGCTAGTACAAGCAGCTGCACATACACATACACATGCACATGCACGTCGTCATATGAGCGAAATATTCTCAAGCACGACGTAAAACCCAATTTCACCTCACCTCACCTCACAAAGGATGTGACTTCATTCTTTCAACAATACTGTGATCCTTTGTTGAACAACATGGAGTGGGTTTAGCTTGGTCATTCGCCCATCAAGGACCCAGGCTCGATTCCACACATGGGTACAATGTGTGAAGCCCATTTCTGGTGTAACCTGCCGTGATACTGCTGGAATATTGCTAAAAGCGGTGTAAAACACACTCAACTCACTCTGTAACCTTTCCAGTCCTGAATCTGTCCGGTGGCCTCTGGATAACAAGAACAGACACGGATGTACCTATCTAGGAAGTGCAAGAAAATCAGGACTCATCTGGATCTTGTCACTACAGATGAGGGGCGGTGGGGTAGCCTAATGGTTAAAGCGTTGGCTCGTCACGCCGAAGACCGGGGTTCGAATCCCCACATGGGCACAATGTGTGAAGCCCATTTCTGGTGTCCCCTGCCGTGATGTTGCTGGAATATTGCTAAAAGCGGCGTAAAACCAAACTCAGTCAGTCAGTCAGTCACTACAGATGTTATAAGCCTGTTTGGGGGTGGTGCATAGCCCAGTGGTCAAAGTGTTTGCTTGTCATGGCCTGGGTTCATTTCACCACATAGGCAAAATGTGTGAAGCCCATTTCTGATGTACCCTGCTGTGATATTGCTGGAATGTTGCTAAAAGCTCGCTCACTCACTCACTCACTCACTCACTCACTCACTCACTGGCAATACCTTGGGACAATACATTAGCCTTATTATATATTATTGTGTATATTATTGGGCATAAATATTTGAGTGAGTGGAGTATTTTCTCCTATCGAACTTGAACATCGGCAGGATTACAAAAATGCTACACTGTTGGCGTTTAATTGTCATGGCCTGGGTTCCATTCCCAAATGAGTACAATGTATGTAGCCCATTGAAGGTGTCTCCACCCTGATATTGCTGGAATGTTGTTAAAAGCGGCATAAAACCATACTCACTCACTAATAAACCTGATAACAAAGTATGGGAAATGTTACTAATAAAAAACTATTACCATCTTAGTCCTACACATTGTTTTTTTAGTCCTACACATTAACTCGTGAAGATTCGAGTTAGAATTGGTCTTCAACAACCCTGTATGTATAACGATGCATTTCTTTTATCATTTTTATAAACAAAGAAATGAAAAATTATTTATTTTGTATGTATCCAAGAATTTCTTTAGACAATAAAGAGCAAAACCAATTGAAGTGGGTCAGTATCTGGGAGTGCATTATGTGAGCAGAATTCTACAGGTATATTGAAGGACCAGTCATTTATTCTTCTTTGTTGCGGGGGACATAGAAAAGAGTTCCGTCAGTCCGTGTGTCCGCCCGTACGTCCATCACACTTTGTCCGAAGCATATCTCCTAAACTGATGGTGATAGCTTAACCAAACTTGGTACACATATCAACCATGATCCCTAGATGTGCCTCCTGGGAGTTAGACCCAGATGCGAATTCTATTTTTTGCAGTTTCCATGGAAACATAACTTAGGCTGTGACTATGAGGATGTCATCTTGTCCGGAGCAGATCTCCCAAACTATATATGCTAGCTTCATCAAACTTGGTACATATGTCAAGCACGATCCCTAGATGTGCCTTTTGGGGTTTAGACCCAGATATGAATGTAATTTTTTTGCAGTTTTCATGGAAACATGACTTAGGCTGTAACTATGAGGATGTCATCTTGTCCGGAGCAGATCTCCTAAACTATTAGTGCTAGCTTCATCAAACCTGGTACACATATCAAGCATGATCCCTAGATGTGCCTTGTGGGGTTTAGACCCAGATATGAATTTTATTTTTTGCTGTTTCCATGGAAACGTGACTTAGGTTGTGACTATGAGGATGTCATCTTGTCCGGAGCAGATCTCCCAAACAATTATATATTACATGCTAGCTTCATCAAACTTGGTACATATGTCAAGCATGATCCCTAGATGTGCCTTTTGGGGTTTAGACCCAGATATCAAGTTTATTTTTTGTGGTTTCCATGGAAACGTGACTTAGGCTGTGACTATGAGGATGTCATCTTGTTAGGTAGTGATGGTAGTGCTCCTCTCTGGAGCAGATCTTAAAAACCTTTCAATACTCTCCTTCCACTTTGCTGTATACACTCCAAAACATTTGACATAATCATAACTAGTAGACATATTCATAAAGAGTATTTTGCCGTTGCGGGGGATATTGATGACTTTATCGTCTTGTTATTACCAATTCCCCACAATGTATGAAGCATATTTCTGGTGTGCCCTGCCATGACATTACTAAAAGCGGTGTAAACATTTTGGCTGTAGATCATCGACATGCTTCAAACAATGTTAGTCTCATGCGGATACATTTAATATTTAGACACATATGTGTGCAATTATTGAGACATTTTCTAATCTATGTCCAAAGTACATTTTACAAAATGAAAGTTCCAAAAACATACCACAGCCATGACCAGGTGTTGAGATTGTGCTGTAGATATTCCTAACATTAAGTGAAGACAAATAGTTTTGAAGTTGTTCCAAATTGTCAATCAAGTTGCCCAATATATTTGAGTGCTAACATCATTGCTTTTAACTAAGGTGAGTGAGATGAAGTGCTATTTTTAGACAGCCCCCTGCTGAGTGTTTCATGTCCTTTGATACTCAGTGTTGACTGCACGCCTCTATTTCTATAAGAGCACAATTTGGCAGTAATAAGTATCTTTTCTGAGGCAATCTGTCATTTTGTCTGCTTGTGATGAAATCTCGAAACTTTTCGTTTCCTAATCATCTAGATCATGTGCTAGTCTTCTCTGAAAAGACATTTGAAATAAGAACAGTGATCAGACTGATAGTATGTTTTCATCACAAGGGACATAACTCTGCACAGGGTAGTGCTATGATTGGGCAAAGACAAGCAAACTTGAAATGGCATGCGTGATAAGAAGATTTTGATATACCGGTAGACTAGAGGACAGTCTACCAGTAACTCACCTATACCAACATTGACGTATCAGTATTTAGTTGTAACAACTTTGTTTCAGACACGAAGATGAATGTACACTCTGAGTAACTCACATGTAACAACATTGTTATTTCAGACACGAAGATGAATGTACGCTATGAGTAGCTCACTTATAACAACATTGTAGTTTCAGACACGAAGATGAATGTACACTCTGAGTAACTCACTTATAACAACATTGTTGTTTCAGACACGAAGATGAATGTACACTCTGAGTAACTCACTTGTAACAACATTGTTGTTTCAGACACGAAAATGAATGTAGACTATGAGTAGCTCACTTGTAACAACATTGTTGTTTCAGACACGAAGATGAATGTAGACTATGAGTAGCTCACTTGTAACAACATTGTTGTTTCAGACACGAGGATGAATGAACACTATGAGTAACTCACTTATAACAACATTGTTGTTTCAGACACGAAGATGAATGTACACTATGAGTAGCTCACTTGTAACAACATTGTTGTTTCAGACACGAAGATGAATGTACACTATGAGTAGCTCACTTGTAACAACATTGTTGTTTCAGACACAAAGATGAATGTACACTGAGTAGCTCACTTGTAACAACATTGTTGTTTCAGACACAAAGATGAATGTACACTCTGAGTAACTCACTTGTAACAACATTGTTGTTTCAGACAATGTCGACGCAATCAGAAGATGCATCACTGCCAGTTTTTTCTCCAATGCTGCCAAGCTGCACTATACTGGTGTTTACAAGACAGTAAGAGACGAACACGTCCTTAACATACATCCCACATCTGTCCTCTTTCCAGAGGTTCCCCCTCAGTGGTGAGTAGACATGGAAAAATTTACCTCCAATTATTAGTCCTGAATCCATCCTCAATGGAGGGGCATGGTGGGCGATGTAGGGTGATCCAGCGAGCTTGAGGTGTCGGGATCGAGCCCACCTGTGACCGGGTGTAAAAACCTTGGAGTCAACTTTGTGTGCAGACTCTTTCAGTGTTGTCACAACCCCTAGTGTACAGTACACAACCCTGTGCTCTTAAAAGAACCCACAAATCTGTTGGTATACGACCAGATGGTGGCCACATGAATACGTGCAAACACCCAGTTGCGGGTACAGCAACAAGCAGTAAACTTGGACAAAGTACTGTGACTATGTGTCCCAGTCCACCCAGCTGTGAATGGGTACCTTGTAAGGATGAGAAAGCCTCAATAACTCGGTGCGCCTAGTGGCTGCAAGAGTCATATGCTCCCCAGGGAGTTGAGATTATTAATTTGATGTGACGTTTAGATTGACATCCAGTTGCGAGGTGAAAAAATACCAGCGCCTTGAGCATGTACTAGTTGCCTGGATAAGTGCGCTATATAAATATCCTGTAAGAATAATAATAACCTCCAAATATCAGTTCTTGTCCCCAAATCAGTACAGAGTAGAAATATCAACATTTTCATCCCAGTATCAGTCATCCATAAACAGGGATGGCAACAATAAAATCTATTTTCAGCTGAAAACTTAATATTGTATCATGGAATGGGGATTCAGGGTTTCTCAAAGGATTTAGACAATTCACAGAATTGGTCAATTTGAAATAAAATTGGCGGAAATCTTTGCATCAGCAGAAAATTGCCATTCATACATAATTCAGACCACAGTGGTAGGAAGAAAAACTATTTACACAGAATGAACTTTCTGCTTGATCTAGGTGGGAGCCAGGTAAGAGTTTCAGCTTGTACAAGTTTGATGTCTGACATTGTTGTGTTGTAGGGTGGTGTTTAATGAGGTGGTGCAGACTTCTAAGGACTTCATGCGTGACATCACAGTCATCAAACCAGAATGGTTGTGTGAGCTGGCACCTCACTTCTATCAGTTTGGCACGGTAAGTCACCTAATGAGGATTGTTGACAAAAAATATTGTGTAATATTTTTTTAGGGTGTGGTAATTACTTCGACTTATGCATCAACTTTGAAAACATGAGTAAGTGAGTGAGTTTGGTTTTATCCCGCTTTTAGCAATATTCCAGAAATATCACGGCGGGGGACACCAGAAATGGGCTTCACACATTGTACTCATGTGGGGAATTGAACCCGGGTCTTCAGGGTGATGAGCAAATGCTTTAACCACTAGGCTACCCCACCACCCTTGTGTCATACACGAGTAGGTGATACGGGATCTACTCAGTCCCAGAAACCCAATTCAGTGAGTTTTTGTTTTATGCCACTTTTAGCAATATTCCAGCAGTGGGGACACCAGAAATGGACTTCACACATTGTATCCATATGGGGAATTGAACCTGCGTCTTCGGCGTGACAAGCGAATGCTTTAACCAATAGGCTACTCCACCACCCAGCAACCCAATTCAGTCATCAAGAATTGGAGTGTACTTTTATCAGGGTTTGTCCATCTATTTGGAAGTGAGGATCCTATGATGATGCCAGGGACAGTCATCTGAGGTGCTGCAGTTGTAGAGTTGTGTCCCTTCGATGTGTCAGGAACCTATGAGGCAGAATGCCAGATTTGCCCAGATTGTTTTATGGACATTCCCCAAGTTGATTTTTGACCTGCATCAGGCCCCCATTTCCCATGTTGGTCATTGGCAGTGAGTCAGGTAACCATGGTAACCTGGCATGTTGTGTTGTCAGCAATGGCGGTCATTGTGAGCAATCTAAAACTAAAATCTGTGAAAGAATAGTTGTTTATTTATTCTTGAATTGTCAACAGTAAGATTATGAATTATGAATATTCGAATATGTTGCGGGGCGATGGGGTAGCCTAGTGGTTAAAGCGTTGGCGCATCACGCCGAAGGCCCGGGTTCGATTCCCCACATGGGCACAATGTGTTAAGCCCATTTCTGGTGTCCCCCGCCGTGATATTGCTGGAATATTGCTAAAAGCAGCGTAAAACTAAACTCAGTCAGTCAGTCAGTCAAATATGTTGCTGAAGTTCCATGTTTAACTTTCACTTCAGGAGCGGGAGCTTGCAAGTAAGAAGTTGAAAACTGACACCGATGATGAAGATGATTGATGAAGCTCAAGACTAGGAGATGTCCCAGCCGGACATACAGACCATCTCTCAGCTGTCATGCCGGACTAGGAACTCTGTCCAAGTTTTGATTGTCTGGTCAAGCTTGTGGAATGTAGACAAAGGGAAATAACTCCATTCACTCAAATGTTAAGCATGAGGAGCATCTTGTTTTTTCCCTTCAACTTAATGTGATGCGAAAACAAGCATTAATTTGTACAGTTGAATTTTTATTACAACTGGTCTAAATTCCAGTTATTGGCTACTTCAGTGAGAGGTGATTGCCCGTGAAGATCCGGGTTAGAATTTGCCTTCAGCAGCCCATGCGTGTCCCAAGAGGCGACTAACAGGATTGGGTGGTCAGGTTGACTTAATTGACGTGTCATATTGCTGAGTGCAGGGTTAAATAATAACAAACACACCTTATGGATGTTGATGTTCACTGCACAAATCTGAACTGTCTTCATGCTTGTTATAAGAGGCGACCAACGGGATTGGGTGGTAAGACTCACTACTTGGTTGACACGTCATCGTATCCTAATTATATAGGTCGATGCTCATGCTGTTAATCACTGGATTATTAGGTCCAGACTCAATTATCTACAGACCAGTGCCATATAGCTGGAATATTGCTGCGTGCGCCGTTCAACAACCAAACCAAACAAAAACCTGAACTGTCTTGTATCTTTTTATCACATATTTTTTGAGTCAGTCTATCACCAACTTGAACTGAGATTGCTAGGTTTGTCATTAAACAATTGGGTTTACAATAGGTGTGACTTAGTCACAGATTCTCTGATCCTAAGTGTTTCACCTCCATACTGATTAGTGTTGGGAATTGGTTGAAATCTCACAATTGATGATTGGTTCAATACCAACGACCAATCATTGAAAAAAAATTGGTTCGCGACATTTTTTAGATTTTCCTATTCAGGTTGTAGTTACAGATAAGTTTAAAAAAAACAACATTTGGTTCTCTGTTGTTGTTTTTTGAAACTGCACAAATTACATTTGCAAATTTCACATCCAGTGTAAAATGATTCAGTTCCAGTGTAACATAAACTTCCCAGATTCTTCAAGAAATATTTAGTCATGACTTTTCAGAAAGTGAAGTGAGTTTTCTTAAAATAAACTTTTCAAGCCCTGACAACGAGATATCTCATCAAGATTTCAAACTCTATTCAGTCATGAAAATGCGTTTTCAGATGAAAAATGTGAAGTGAGTTTTCTTAGAAATCTTCAACACGTTTTCAGGGGACACCACTGAATAACGATCATGACTGGTTTATCTGGATGTCTCTCAACTATGCCTAAGATTGTCATTTCAAAGCTGTCTGTATTACAGCTGTAGGGATGTTCCAAAGGGATCGTGGTAAGCTGTAGGGATGTGTAAGCTGTAGGGATGTGAGGATGTAGGGATGGTATAGCTGTAGGGATGTGGTATGCTGTAGGGATGTGATGCTGCTGTAGGGATGTGGTATGTGTGGTATGCTGTAGGGATTGCTTGTGGTCGCTTGGCCACTGCGATGCTGTAGGGATGTGGGATGTGGTATGGGATGTGGTATGCCGTATGCAGGGATGTTATTTGTAGGGATGAGGGATGTGGTATTTGTAGGGATGTGGTGTAGGGATGCTGTAGGGATGTGGTAAGCTGTAGGGATGTGGTATGCTGTAGGGATGTGGTATGCTGTAGGGATGTGGTATGCTGTAGGGATGTGGTGTGGTAGCTGTAGGGATGTGGCAAGCTGTGTAGGGATGTGGTATGCTGTAGGGATGTGGTATGCTGTAGGGATGTGGTATGCTGTAGGGATGTGGTAGAGGGATGTGGTATGCTGGTGTGGTATCTAGGGATGTGTGGTAGGATGCTGTAATGTGTGTATGCTGTAGGGATGTGGTATGCTGTAGGGATGTGGTATGCTGTAGGGATGTGGTATTAAGCTGTAGGGATGTGGTATGCTGTAGGGATGTGGTATGCTGTAGGGATGTGGTATGCTGTAGGGATGTGGTATGCTGTAGGGATGTGGTATGCTGTAGGGATGTGGTATGTAGGGATGTGGTATGCTGTAGGGATGTGGTGTGTAGGGATGTGGTATGCTGTAGGGATGTGGTATGTGGTATGCTGTAGGGATGTGGTATGATGTGGTATGTAGGGATGTGGTATGCTGTAGGGATGTGGTATGCTGTATGCTGGTATGCTGTAGGGATGTGGTAAGCTGTAGGGATGTGGTATGCTGTAGGGATGTGGTAAGCTGTAGGGATGTGGTATGCTGTAGGGATGTGGTATGCTGTAGGGATGTGGTATGCTGTAGGGATGTGGTATGCTGTAGGGATGTGGTATGGTAGCTGTAGGGATGTGTAGGGATGTGGTAAGCTGTAGGGATGTGGTATGCTGTAGGGATGTGGTAAGCTGTAGGGATGTGGTATGCTGTAGGGATGTGGTAAGCTGTAGGGATGTGGTATGCTGTAGGGATGTGGTATGTAGGGATGGTATGCTGTAGGGATGTGGTATGCTGTAGGGATGTGGTATGCTGTAGGGATGTGGTATGCTGTAGGGATGTGGTATGCTGTAGGGATGTTGTAGGGATGTGGTATGCTGTAGGGATGCTGTAGGGATGTGGTATGCTGTTCAAGACTCAGTCACAGTTTGTTTGTCTATTGTTTAACACTGCACCTAGCAATATTCCACCTATATTTTGTTGACCAGAAATCACATCTGACCAGATCAGCCAAGGAAGGTAGGATAAGGGCTCTATTTTGTCCCTCTGCAATTTTGTTCAATCTTAGTTAATTCCTTCAAATATTTGAATGACAACTATTGGACACAAGTATAGATTAAATGAGTGAAAAAGATGATTCTTGTAAACTCCAACTCAAAATAGGAATGTCACAATCAAACAGGCGTTTTCACCAGGAAAAGAAAATCAAATAAGATCTACCTCTAAGATCCGTTTTCACCAGTAACCTCTAAGATCCGTTTTGTAGACACATTTTAGTCTTGCCTATACACGTATGTTATTATCTCAAAACATTCACATGTTGAAATGAGCAAAATTGAGGAACAAGATTCACATTCATATGAACACATCTGATAGCTTCCACAACAATTTCTTAATCTTTTTTTCTCATTTCTTTATTTATACAGATCCTGTGTGTGTGCCTGTGCGCCAGAGGGCCGTTATCTTATCTTCTAATGTGTATCTGTTCCTGAACTATAGCACTGTCACTGACCATTGTATATATCATCGTCATCAACAGGCAATAAACAAACGACAAGACACAGTGTTGTTTGTAGTTTAATATCCTTCATCGTATGTGGAGAAGGCAGAGTACAACCAGTACTGCTGATCAGGAAATACAATGTAAGTGTACAAGTTGTCTCCCCCTAGGTAGAAGCCATGTTCTCGCTTGCTCCAGGACACTGGGGAGTCGGCGAACCCGTGAACTGTGACCGCAGCCCAGAGAGTCTTGTTGCTGTTCTTCTCTACATGTGATCTGAAATGGTTGATTGTGAAGATGTGAATTGTTAAAACATCATTAAGTTCCTGTGGGGATTTTGACTTAAAAAGGTCCCCAGCGGATTATGCTCATATTCCAGTGATAATAACAGATATGTTCATACTCCAGTCGTAAAAACAGATATGATATGTTCATACAGATATGCTCAGTATTCCAGTCATAATAACAGATATGCTCGTCCAGTCATAATAACAGATAATAATAACAGATGTGCATATTCCAGATATGCTCATATTCCAGTCATAATAACAGATATGCTATACAGATATGCTCATATTCCAGTCGTAATAACAGATATGCTCATATTCCAGTCGTACTAACAGATATGCCCATATTCCAGTCGTAATAACAGATATGCTCATATTCCAGTCGTAATAACAGATATGTTCATATTCCAGTCGTAATAACAGATAACTAAGGGGACTTGGCGGTCAGGCTCAGTGATTAGGTGTCACTGGTTGGTTGGTTGGTTCTTTAACGCCACACTCAGCAATATTCCAGCTGTATGGCGGCGGTATGTAAATATCTTGTCTGGACCAGACAATCCCGTGATCAAAAGCATGTGCATTGTTCTACGCAATTGGGATACAATTACATGTGTCAAACAAGTCTGCGAGACTGACCACCCAATCCTGTTAGTCGCCTCTTACAACAAGTATGGGTTACTGATGACCAATTCTAACCCGGATCTTCATGGGTCATGTGACTGCAACAAGACGAAGACGGAAGTTATCAAAATATCTATCACTGGTTTGTTTGGTTAACAGGTCGCCATTTTATCACAGGACTATAGCTGAACATTAATGAACAAACATTAAAAAAGGTTGATGCAAAAAGGTCTCATGCCCATTTGTGAGGTTGGGAATTCGGGGTTTAATGCCACAAGTCACATTCCACACAGCAATATCATGGCGGGGACACCAAAAATGGGCTTCACACATTGTACCCATGTGGGGGAATCAAACCCAGGTCTTCAGATTTAATCACATGGCTACCCACCCAACTAACCCATGACACACTGGAAAGCTGGGAGCAAATCTACATGTTTTCACCCATCCAATTTTTCACTGCCCTAAAAAATCTGTCATTCAATAGCACGTACCTTTAATTAAATCATCAACATCACATAGGTATCACATTAATCTCACCTGACGGAGTCCAGAACTCTGTTAATGACATCAGGGGAGATAAATCCTGTACCCTGGTGGTGACCTATGTCCTGTGGTGTGGAGGGGTCAGGAGGTCGGTATGTGTTCAGGAAGTGATCCGCTGCACCATCCCTGAGGAGGAAGAAGTGAGTGGGTTGAGTTTGATGCTGTTTGGATCCATAAAAAACATAACCAAACTGTCATTCCTTATTCCAATATGAGTACTGTTATTACATCTAGATCCGTTCACAACACAAGTCAAGTACTCAACACAGAAATCAAGTACACAACACCCAAGTCAAGTACACAACACAAGTCAAGTACACAACACAAAAATCAAGTACACAACACAAGTCAAGTACACAACACAGAAATCAAGTACACAACACACACAACACAGAAATCAAGTACACAACACACACAACACAAGCCAAGTACACAACACAAGTCAAATATACAACACACACAACACAAGCCAAGTACACAACACAGAAGTCCAGTACACAATACACAAGTCAAGTACACAACACAAGTCAAGTACACAACACACACAACACAGAAGTCCAGTACACAACACAAGTCAAGTACACAACACAAGTCAAGTATACAACACACACAACACAAGCCAAGTACACAACACAAGTCAAGTATACAACACACACAACACAGAAGTCCAGTACACAACACAGAAATCCAGTACACAACACACAAGTCAAGGAAGTCAAGTACACAACACACACAACACAAGTACACAACACACACAAGTACACAACACAAGTCAAGTACACAACACAAGTCAAGTACACAACACACACAACACAGAAGTCCAGTACACAACACAAGTCAAGTACACAACACAAGTCAAGTACACAACACGGACAACACAAGCCAAGTACACAACACAAGTCAAGTATACAACACACACAACACAAGCCAAGTACACAACACAAGTCAAGTATACAACACACACAACACAGAAGTCCAGTACACAACACAGAAGTCCAGTACACAATACAAAAGTCAAGTACACAACACAAGTCAAGTACACAACACACACAACACAGAAGTCCAGTACACAACACAAGTCAAGTACACAACACACAAGTCAAGTACACAACACACAAGTCAAGTACACAACACAGAAGAAAGTCAAGTACACAACACAAGTCAAGTACACAACACAAGTCAAGTACACAACACAGAAGTCCAGTACACAACACAGAAATCCAGTACACAACACACAAGTCAAGGAAGTCAAGTACACAACACACAAGTCAAGTACACAACGCACAAGTCAAGTACACAACACACAAGTCAAGTACACAACACAGAAATCCAGTACACAACACACAAGTCAAGGAAGTCATGTACACAAGTCCAGTACACAACACACAAATCCAGTACACAACACACAAGTCAAGGAAGTCAAGTACACAACACACAAGTCAAGTACACAACACACAAGTCAAGTACACAACACACAAGTCAAGTACACAACACACAAGTCAAGGAAGTCAAGTACACAACACACAAGTCAAGTACACAACACACAAGTCAAGTACACAACAGGTACTCCAAGCCCAACATCATAAAACAACATGTCACATGACAATACAAATATCCTCATTCAAGCAACAATGTCATGTTGATGTCATGTATGTCATCATGCATGCTACCTATTGGATGGTGGGGTTCATTCTAGCTTTTCCCTTCAAAATATGGATCTAACTAACAAAGGGCTCCAGGTTTCTCAGGGCCATCCTACTGTTCAGACATACAGATGGATTCTTGGTCAGACCAAGTGACTGCCTGACTGCCTGAGTTTGGTTTTACGCCGCTTTTAGCAATATTCCAGCAACATCACGGCAGGGGACACCAGAAATGGGCTTCACACATTGTGCCCATGTGGGGATTCGAACCCGGGTCTTCGGCGTGACGAGCGAACGCTTTAACCATTAGGCTATCCCACCGCCCCTCAGACCAAGTGACCCATGCTTGTCAAACAAAGTGACTTTAAGGATGAGATGGCCATGCTCAGTCACTAAGCTGGCTGGGTAATCATACTGAAATGCTCATTATACCAATCACAAGATTGTCTGGTCCAGACAGTTGTTTACAGTTGGTGATCATACAGCTGGAATGTTTATGAGTGCATCATTAAACAACAAACAATTATAGAATCTTAATTATAAATTCATATGTATATAGAGTAACAATTCATTTCAAAACTCACAGTTTTGCCCCACAAGACACAGCTCCAAACCACTCATAGGTCGTCATGCAGCTGTCGTCTGACGTCTTCACACTGCTGTCAGACAGTTCAGGGGTCAGTCGGTTTTTCAGCAACGATGACTTCTGCTTAACTCCAAGTTCACTGACCTCATATCCATTGTTTTCAAAATATTGTTGGATGGAACTCGGGCAGATGTTGTTATCTGGTGCCGGAATAAGACAACGGTTACCAAGGTTACATGACCAGGAAGAGCTAGCTGAATCAGGCTTTCTACTGTGGGTGTGAATTCATAAAATTATATCATATTCATTAAATTTGCTTGTTAGGTAAAACTTTTGGTGACCAAGTCGGCACGCCATTTATGAACTATAGCTTCACGATAGAAATAGAGAGAAATACTAGATTCATTTTTATCTATTTATTCAAAACATTACAATCTAACACCTAGAAATAGTCAGGTTTTGTTGTAGATGAATATGTCCTTTATGCAACCAGCGTACATCTCCAACAAGACTGACTGACTGAGTTAGGTTTTACGCCGCTTTTAGCAATATTCCAGCAATATCACGGCGGGGGACACCAGAAATGGGCTCCACATATTGTACCCATGTGGGGAATCGAACCCGGGTCCTCAGCAAGACGAGCCAACGCTTTAACCACTAGGCTACTCCACCGCCCCCTCTAACAAGACAATCTATCCATTTCACTGTACATTTGTTTGTTGTTTAACGCCACACATAGTGATATACCAGCTATGACGGAAGCCTATAAAAATGGTTTGGACCTGATGATCCAGTGATCGATACAGTGAGATTGATTTACATCGTCAGGGTACAATGAATTCCAGTCAACTCAACAAGCATAGGTTGCCAAGACAACAACAGCTCATACCATCTGGTACCCATCTGACGAGGAAGTTGAACACCAGGTTGAGGCGATCCTTGAGACACCACCACACACGGTTGTAGTTCTTCCTCCCTGGCATGAAGCAGTCGGCGGTCAGGTCAATATGGATGACTGGAAACACAAACACACAAATTGGGTCAGGTCTTACACAGGTTTGAACAGTTCAGTTATTTCAGTGTCTGCTTAATGTGAAGTGACATCCTGAAGTGTATCCACACTTTGATTAATTATAACGTAAACATTGCCTCTGGATTATGGTAGCCTTATTCATGTGGATACACAGAATACATACAGAAAATCAAAAGAAATTTTAACACTAAGTCACAGCTATTCCTAGTGGTATACCTAGTCTACCCTTGAGTTATCTCCCTTGATCCTGACGCACTGTATTGTTCTCCTAGAACCCTTCATAATTTTTCTGTATGGTCCACATGCATGACGTGAAGAGAATCGAGTGAAATTTCATTTCAAATCAAGACTTCAATTCTTCATATATAGGTCAGTTACAAATCGCATTCCATTTAATATTCAATCGCATTGCCGTTTTGCATATATATTATATATATTTCCAACGTATTTAGGATCTGAAGTATTCCTGCCCTTTTTGATTGACAAGCATGGCGCAGAGCAAATGTCTCCAATGTCAGAAATTCATGGCGGATGTTGATCCCCACTCTCTGTGTGCTTCCTGTTATAAAGGCTTACCTTGCTCAATTTCGGATCGATGCTTATTGTGTCAGGAAAACTCCGAAGAAGATCGGTTGTTGATGGACAAATCTCGTTCCTTAGTTAGGAAGAGTAAACATTCATCGTCATCAGAATGTTCTAAGTCAAAGAAAGTTCAGGGATCTCCGCCTTTATCTATTAAATCTGAACTGAAGTCTCGTTCTAGATCAAAATCTAAATCCTCTCCCCACTTGGATATATCTGCGTTCTCAGAACTTTTGGCGGGATTTAAGTCTTATATCCAGGCGGGCCATGGACAAATCTGTACGGGATATGGAGATAAGGAATGACAAAAACTTTCATCGCCTGTCTAAACATCTGGAAGAACCTGTTTATCCGGCAAGACGGCAGATAGCCACAGTGACTTGGTGGTCGATGGCAAGAGCCGGGGCCAAAGTCACTTCCTACAGAAACCAGGGGTGCTATGACGGGGAAAGCCAGTTACCATGCCCTGGCGTACGTAGGAGGCCTGTCCCCTCAGGGGGGAGAAGCCGAGGGCTTCAAGCAATGGGGATGGAGTCTGCCTAGCGGATAACGGTGTATCAACCCAGCAGTCTGATTTGCACGGACCTAGCGGTTCAGAGGACACGGCTATGGACCCGCAAGGTTATTTTGACACAGACAATCCGCCCTTAATCCCGTTAGTGTCTGATGTGACAGATCAGGAGGATTCATCGGTTTATCCTTTCTCACAACCGGAGTTTTCCATGAGAGAAGGGTTGTTGACTCACTGTTCAGCACTCTCCTCCTTAGGAATCGGAAACGTTCCTCGACATGATATTGAATTTGGACTTTGTATGTCCGGTGACACAATCTCCAGTAGGGGGCAGGTTGGCCCAATATTTGGACAATTGGAAACTAATAACATCAGATGAGTGGGTCCTGTCTGTCGTGAGCAGGGGGTTTATTCTTCCTTGGCACAAGCAGTCTCCAGTGACTTGCTTTCCAGAGGGACGTCGGTTTGTTCTTCAAGGCCAACGTTTAGCGGGAGTAAACTCAGCAATATATCAGTTACTGGAGAAACGGGCAATCATACAATTTCCTCCAGAGGATCAGACATGCGGGTTTTATTCACCGGTATTCCTAGTCCCCAAGAAAGATTCGGACGAAATGTGCATGATAATGGACTTGAAAGTGTTGAACAAGCTATTTTTGAGGAAACCGCCAAAGTTCAGGATGGATTCAATTGCAAACCTACGCAACTTGATTCGTCAGGATTCCAAGTTTATAAGCATAGATCTAAAGGATGCGTATCTTCATATCCCTATTCATCCGAGATCTCGCAAATATCTCAGCTTCCTACCTCTACCTCTAGATCGGATAGGACTAGACTTTTGTGTACCATATGTGCCTTGCGCTGGTACATTCAGCGTACTTCAACGTTTAGACGTAATCGTCGCAGACTGTTTATGTCATGTACGACAAATGTAGACTCTGAGATATCCAAGAATACCATATCTTCATGGCTCAGAAAGACTATATCTTTTGCTTATAGGGATCAGAATCAAGACTTAATTGATCTTAAATTCTCCCCCCAATTAGAGCCCTAGCTTCATCCTTAGCAGCTTGGTCGTCAGTTCCGTTAGAACAAGTTGTGTCTAGTTGTCAATGGAAATCTCCTAATACCTTTATCCATTTTTACCTCAGGGATGTTGCTCCCTCTATTGAAGGTTTACATTCATTACGACCTTTAGTAGCAGCTCAGCATCTCGCCTCCGCCTGACTGCCCCTTTGGGGGGGTGGGGTGGTGGGGTGGTTTTGTGTGTGTGTTGACCTGGCATCTACATCTTCAGGAAGGATGACGCGTTGGAATCTATCGTAATCCGGATTTATGGCGTCAGGAATTATATAATCCCTACTATTACGGATTAGGATTATCATGATATCTATCATATCAACCATAAGGAAGTTAGAAGGCTCTCCATCTCTGGGAATGTATTCCCCACTGCTACTGACCAAACTGGAGATAAATTATTTATCTCTGACTAAGTCATAGTTATTCTTAGGAGGTTGAGTAATCAACTCTCAGCTAGTGGTATAGAGGGTAGTATCTTCCAAGGGTAACCCTCCTTCCTTACTTGGGATTCAGGCTACCATAATCCAGAGGGAATGTTTACGTTATAATTAGGAACAATTACATGTATTGTTAGTAATTGTTACTGATAGTAAACTTACCTCTGGATTATGAGGAGTAGTTCCCACCCTGTGTCCTCCCCGCGAATTAAGCCTTAGAAAATGTCATAGATGTGTTGTTGTTTTTAGAAAAAATATGAAGGGTTCTAGGAGAGCAATACAGTGACGTCAGGATCAAGGGAGATAACTCTGGGGTAGACTAGGTATACCACTAGGAATAGCTATCACTTAGTGTTAAAATTTCTTTTGATTTTCTGTATGTATTCTGTGTATCCACAGGAATAAGGCTACCATAATCCAGAGGTAAGTTTACAAACAATTACTAACAATACATGTAATTGTTCCTTTTTACTTTCATAAACAAGAATGCAGTGATGCACAATTATGATCTCAGATTTAAACCTATGATCACAGGATCTGGATAACCCAGCCATAAAGACTTCAAAGCTAAAACCCACAGATAAGGGGTACAGTGACAAACCATCACTGTGGAAATTGAACAACAAATCCAGGCACGAAGAAGATAATTACAAACCCAGATATAAGGGATTCAACTACAAAGCCAAGAATTTGGGGATTCAAAGACAAACCCAGATATAAGGGATTCTACAACAAAGCCAAGAATTAGGGGATTCAAAGACAAACCCAGATATAAGGGATTCTACAACAAAGCCAAGAATTAGGGGATTCAAAGACAAACCATGATGTAAGGGATTCAACGACAAAGCCAAGAATTAGGGGATTCAAAGACAAACCATGATGTAAGGGATTCAACGACAAAGCCAAGAATTAGGGGATTCAAAGACATACCATGATGTAAGGGATTCAACGACAAAGCCAAGAATTAGGGGATTCAAAGACATACCATGATGTAAGGGATTCAACGACAAAGCCAAGAATTAGGAGATTCAAAGACAAACCCAGATATAAGGGATTCAACGACAAAGCCAAGAATTAGGGGATTCAAAGACAAACCCAGATAAAAGGGGTTCAACGACAAAGCCAGAAATTGGGGATTGAAAGACAAACCCAGATATAAGGGGTTCAACGACAAAGCCAGAAATTGGGGGATTCAAAGACAAACCCAGATATAAGGGGTTCAACGACAAAGCCAAGAATTAGGGGATTTAAGGACAAACCCAGATATAAGGGGTTCAACGACAAAGCCAAGAATTAGGAGATTCAAAGACAAACCCAGATATAAGGGATTCCATGACAAAGCCAAGAATTACGGGATTCAAAGACAAACCATAATGTTAGGGATTCAACGACAAAGCCAGGAATTAGGTGATTCAACGACAAAACCATGATGTTAGGGATTCAATGACAAAGCCAAGAATTAGGGGATTCAATGACAAAACCATGATGTTAGGGATTCAACAACAAAGCCAAGAATTAGGAGATTCAAGGACAAACCCAGATATAAGGGATTCAATGACAAAGCCAAGAATTAGGGGATTCAAAGACAAACCATGATGTTAGGGATTCAACGACAAAGCCAAGAATTAGGGGATTCAAAGACAAACCATGATATAAGGGATTCAACGACAAAGCCAAGAATTTGGGGATTCAACGACAAAACCATGATGTTAGGGATTCAACAACAAAGCCAAGAATTAGGGGATTCAAAGACAAACCCAGATATAAGGGGTTCAACGACAAAGCCAGAAATTGGGGGATTGAAAGACAAACCCAGATATAAGGGGTTCAACGACAAAGCCAGAAATTGGGGATTCAAAGACAAACCAAGATATAAGGGGTTCAACGACAAAGCCAAGAATTAGGGGATTCAAAGACAAACCCTGATATAAGGGATTCCACGACAAAGCCAAGAATTAGGGTATTCAAGGACAAACCCAGATATAAGGGAATCAACGACAAAGCCAAGAATCAGGGGATTCAAGGACAAACCCAGATAAAAGGGGTTCAACGACGAAGCCAAGAATTAGGGGATTCAAAGACAAAGCCAAGAATTAGGGGATTCAAAGACAAACCCAGATATAAGGGGTTCAACGACGAAGCCAAGAATTAGGGGATTCAAAGACAAAGCCTAGAATTAGGGGATTCAAAGACAAACCCAGATATAAGGGATTCCATGACAAAGCCAAGAATTAGGGGATTCAAAGACAAACCCAGATATAAGGGATTCTACGACAAAGCCAAGAATTAGGGATTCAAAGACAAACCCAGATTAGGGGATTCATGACAAAGCCAAGAATTAGGGGATTCAAAGACAAACCCAGATATAAGGGATTCTACAACAAAGCCAAGAATTAGGAGATTCAAGGACAAACCCAGATATAAGGGATTCAACGACAAAGCCAAGAATTAGGGGATTCAAGGACAAACCATGATGTTAGGGATTCAACAACAAAGCCAAGAATTAGGGGATTCAAAGACAAACCATGATGTAAGGGATTTAACAACAAAGCCTGAAATTGGGGGATTCAAAGACAAACCCTGATATAAGGGATTCAACATCAAAGCCTGAAATTGGGGGATTCAAGGACAAACCAAAGGGTGTGGGGATATTCAGGAGATACCAGAAAGGGAACCTGATTACTCATGCATGTGTACTGATATAGTTGAGGAAACTGTTTCAGGTTTAGATACTCATTGACTCCTCACAACATAACACAAAGTGTTTGGGATAAAAGCGTAACGCACCTACCATATTTGTTAGGTTTTTGGTGTCTTGGTGTGAAGACTGACGGCTTTCCTTCCAGACCAAGTTGTTCATATGTATCCTTGGTAACATTTAACACCAGTGTCCCTGGAAACATCATATTCTCTCATCATACTGACCACGTATTTATACTGGGTGGGCCTGAATGACAAGTGGTTCAAAATTACTGCAGTCTATAGCATACATGTGAGGTGAAGCACATTGGGAACAGGGTACCCTGTCTGTATTTTGTTCATTTGTTGTGGTAGTACTGCGCTCAGCAATATTCGAGCTATATCACAGAGTCTGGACCAGACAATCCAGTGATCAGCATCATGAGCATCAATCTCTACAAGGCCAACTCTAACCTGGATCTTCACGGACAGCTCAGCACTGATGACTAAGCTGTTTGATTGGCTGCAGTGTGTGAAATAGCCACTGGTCCGCTAACCAGAGCCTAGTAAAATTACAAACCTGTAAACAAGATAATTTAACCCCTGAAATGTACATGAATTCTGCATCGGCCCTCATATCTATTCCTCATATGACGTCACAGAGATGCGCCGCTCTGATTGGTTGAAATTTCGTTTGCGGGTGAGAATTGTGCACTGTTGTCAAAAAGGTTGATTTAAGTTAATTAAAGATCGAATAGAGTAGTTTTAATGACAGGGTTTCATTTATAGCGATGCCAATTAGTAATTTATGTATTTGTACCCCCTAGAGTATATGTGATCTTTAATTTATGATACCCTTTTAAATCATGCAAGATTATGGCCTGATAACCTATATCATGCCGACAATATTTTATTCTCATCTATTTTTGTAATCTTTTGCTTAGTTTCTACATTTAAATTTTGTGCTAGTGAATTATTTTGTGGGCTAGTAACTTTCAGGTATAGCTAGCCCGACTGGCTAGCAAAATGTGGAAACTATTTCGCACACTGATTGGCTGCCATTTTTCTTTTAATATACATGTATATAGGAACAAGCTGGCTGATGGCACCACATTTACTTTCAGATGATGACTTCTTGAAAAGTGAGTGAGTGAGTGAGTTTAGTTTTACGCTGCACCCAGCAGTATTCCAGCTTTTTGGCAGAGGTCTGCAAATAATCGAGTCTGAACCAGACAATCCTGTGATCGACTGCATGAGCATCAATCTACACAATTGGGACACAATGAAGTGTCAGCCAAGTCAGTGAGTCTTACTACTCAATCTGTTAGTCACCTCTTACGACAAGCATGGGTTTAACATATGTTATATTTGGGATTACACTTTCTTAGTAAAGTACAGATTGTAGTACTTTTGGGGTTGAATCCCATCCAGGATTCGAACCCGCACCCTCAGAGTCAGGCACCTAATCGCCAGCACATAAAGTTAGACGCCTACACCACTCAGTCACCGCAGCTTCATGGGTTACTGAAGACCAATTCTAACCCGGGTCTTCACGGGTCCCTTGAAAATATAAAATGCAGTCAAATCCTGATAAGTCGAATCGCTGGGGACCAAGTAATAAATTCGTCTTATCGATGTATTCGAGACATAGGTATGTCTATGAGGGTAGAAAAAAGATGATCCAGTCCTAATTCCTCCACCTAAGCATTTGTTTATCTAATGATTTCCATATCACTAATAGGGGCACCTTATCAGTTCCAGTCTGATTAGCACAGACAGTGATTTCCATAAAATCACTAATCTACCTTTGGAACTCAACCGTCAATGGCGGAAAGGTGTAAGCCGCGCTGGTTTGTTAATTGGATCAGTTTGCTACACCAATCAACTTCTCATTGACTGACTTGGATTATGTGTACAAGATTGCTGTTGTTTGAATCTCATCGGACCAAATTTCCTTCTCGAGTCATCGTGTGTATTTATGAGACGAATTCGTGTAACCGGTATTCAAATGATGACAACTATAACAGGGAATGGTCGGGACCGACAGGTACTTCGAGTTATGCATAATATTCGAGACACCGGCATTCGACTCTTCGGGATTTGACTGTATGTGTAAAAAGGTCATGACCTTACAGGATACTGACAAATATATTTTTTTAAATGAGCTGTCATCTAAACATGTCACAACTAAACATGACCAAACATATTGGGAGTATGGGTGTGACAAGCTTTCAAGACCGATTTATTCTCGTTTCCTTACCAGATGGCAGCAGTGCTACACAATCATGGACGTCAAGCTGCGTGTCATGTGACAGGAAGTACATACATCCTACAACAGCAAAAAATCAAACATTCTACTCTTTGTTTGTTTGTCATTTAATGTCAGACTCTGCAATATGGCTGGTCCGTAAATATTTGACTCTAGACCAGAAAATCCAGTGATCAACATCTATAAACATCTTTCTATGTGGTGGAGTAAGTCAAAAAGTCTGACCACCTGATCTATTTAGATGCAAATAAGTTGACAAGGACTGATTGCCTTCAAACCTTTTACTTTTTAAATATATTTATAATGCATATGATATGAGTCCTTTATGGCATAATAATAATTATCATAACAATAGGGCTTCCCTTGAATTTACCCCTTGTATGTTTGTAAGATAATTTTATGGACAAAAGAAATACAAATCAACAGTGTTAAGTTCTACATTTTTGCAGTGAATGAAATGTTGACATTTACAATTTTTAGCAAAATGTTTTGTCCAGTTTGTCTGCCAAGTGCTCTTTGTTTGAAATCCTAGACAAATCTCAGGTACTTGTCTGGAAGACAAAGTTTCTGGATCAACAGGTTCCTGATTAACCAGGTTTCACTGTGACTTTGAATTAGTTTTGTTTTGTACACTGAAAATGAAAATTGAAACAATCTCATTTTCATTTGTTCAAGATAACACAGAAATGACAATTACATGTGAATGTTATCACGATCCAAACATAATAATGAAAATATAATAATTTGAATATTTTCTGTGTAACCTTTTTTGACAAATGCCTCAATGAATTCCTTGTCTATGAGACGAATCAGCGGCAGTTTGTGAACCAGGTATGCTTCTTCATTGTCCAGCTGGCTGGAGATGTTAGGGGGAATTGCCTCCCCTGGAAGGAGCACAGAAACCTGGAAGGAAATGTCACAATTGAGTCAGTGAATGAGGTTTAGGCACCACTTTCGTATGTGTAACTATCCTTACATCAGTTTATAAATGAAAAATGTAGGACAGCTATTTGACATAAAATTGTTATTTTTGCAAAGCTATCTTTATTATTATTCTTTTCATAGGTATTTCGTCCAAAATGTGGTTCCAAACCCACATGATTTAAAGGGCCGCTTGATTGGAAAGGGGTCCATGGGGCACCATGACACGGGTAAAATGAATATATTTTGTCACCTATTACAACACACATTGAATATTGGGGACTTGTTTTAACACAGAATCTGCACAGGTTTATTGATTGCATCTCAGCGTCCCATCAGAGACCATATAATATTATATGGTCTCTGGTCCCATGCATTGATGCTACTTATATCAAAATGTCAAATACTTAAATATATAAACTTCACACAGAAAATCAAACAAAATGATGATAGTTTGTGAAGTAACTTTCTATTTTGGAGACTAACGTTATGAATATTTTGTCCAGAGTTGTTCTCATGTTGGTAAGAGTTGGTAACCCCCGCTTGAATTAATGTATTCTACTTATTATGATTATTTCAAGGGGTTAGGGCTTTAGATTCAGCATTATGTTAGATTTAGGGTTAGGATAGGCTTTCTATGAAAACATCTATTCTTACTATAAATGTTAGGCATAGAATGATAATCAAACGGGGGTTACGGGCGGAAATCTTTCCCTGATGTTTTCATTACATTCTCTGTTGAAATGAATGTTTGATCATGAACCGATTTGCAGTTAGATTGTGATTCATCCAAATCATTTTCAGGTGATTTTGACCCGAACAGACTTAGCCTCGCTTTTAGACTCACGTGGAATTATGCATAAATACGTACACATGCATTAAAATAATGTTCTGAAATAAATTTCTTATGTCGACTGTTCTTGTGTAAGAAAGACGATTTTTCAAAAACGAGTTTGCCCGAAGGACTCGCGTTTGGAAAGGGCGCAGACATGTTTACATCCCGCACTAAAATCGCCTTTTATACAAAAGACGAACTCAATAGAGAGTCAAACAACTGCGAAATTGGCATGTGAAGCAACATCGTATGTGCTGTTTTCATCGTAGGTATATTGTAAGATAAGATAAGATAAGATAATTCTTATTATCCCAATAAAGGGGAATTTGTTTTGCATCATATGCAGTTCTCCTGTTTTTCTTTCATAAAGCAGCCATATATAACGTTGCAAATGGTTATCATAATTGTTTAAAATAATCAGGATATAAATACATCAATTTAGTACACAAACATAGATATTGACTAGAATTTGGACAATTGGAAGACAAGTAATTCACTGAATTTGTTAATACATCTAATACTAGCTGGAACAAATGAGTGGCGAACCCTGTTTGTTCTAAAAGTCGGCATTCACAGCCTGCGTCCAGAAGGTAATGATGAATATTCCGAAAAGAGTATGTGAGTAGGATCACTTAAAACTTTGTTTGTCTTGTTTTAAATTTGCTGCTCATAACAACTGCCGATAATTTCGATAGGAATCCCAATAATTTTAGACGCAGTGTTTACGATTTTTGAGAGTTTGTTTTTATTCTGGACAGACAGGTTCCCGAACCAACTAAAAAAATTAAAGGTTATCACACTTTGAATATAGGTTTTGTAAAATAACACCATGATAGTTTGGTCGATTTTAAAATGTTTCAACTTCCACAAAAAATGCAAGCGTTGTTGTCCTTTTTTATATATTTTCTCAGTGTTTTCGTTCCAGGAAACATATTCACGTAGACACCTGTTTTTACAACGTTTTCCTACAAGTACAACTTAATTGTCGGGCTGTGGGGTAGCCTAGTGGTTAAGGCGTTTGCTCGTCACGCCAAAGACCCGGGTTCGATTCTCCACATGGGTACAAAGTAAACTCACGCACAATAAACTCTTGTCGTTCTGATATGCGACCGATGTGAATGTAGCTTTAAATCTTTCGACCACACAGAATTACCCACGGGCATTGTTCATGACGAAAACGTTCGTGAGTGCTCTTTCCGCATATCAATCCTAGTTTTTTTGTTGTGATAAACGTTAATGTTTGATGGCGTAAATAGTTGATTTAATAATTTTATGTACTATCTAAAACAAACCATGGATGAATAAAGTTATCAACACAAACTGATTTTTATATTTAAATTCTTTAAATTCGCTGCGATACTTTTATCGACAAAAGGGAAACAACTCTTCCAGTTGTTACAGTAAACATGACCGAGGAAAAGACTCGCTAAGACTTAGGCCATGGAATATAGATTATGGAAATGAAAAACCCAATAATTTGAATAATGGCAGCGATGTTTGAAGAGATAAGACCTTCAATCGAAACTTTGGAAGCGGATATCCAGCCATCCACTGAAACTGTCTGCCCAGTTCAAGGTTGTGACAAAACATTCAAGAATTCATCACATCTGTGTCTCCACAAAGCTAAAGTCCATGGAATTGAAGTGGTAAGTAGTCATTCATAAAATTGTCGGGTTCCTTCCGTTCCCCCATCTCTAAACCAAACTCTAAACCTAACCCTAAACCTAGCCCTAACTTAAATTTTGGACTTTTAATCATTTTGTGAGTTCTCTAGTAATTGTTGTGTTAAGTTTTGTTTATAATTCTAGAATATTTATACATATTATTTGGGATGGGGGAACGGGAGGAACTCTTACCAAATTGTCGGAATTTCAGTAATTATAAATTATGTGTTATATTCCTCAGATCTTTTAACAACTCCTAAATATATATTTTGACAGAAAGTATGGTACCTATTGCCAAATGCCAAATATTGACCTGTCACTCAGTCCGCATGGTATGCACACCTGGGAAGTTGACATGGTAACAATGTCATCTATGGGATGACTCCTCACCCTGCAACATTAGAGTAATCTATCGCCTCTTTCATTCTGGGGTGGTTATTTTTTTTAATGTTTTTTTTCTTCTGAATAGTATGAAAATAACACACTAAAAATATAAGAGGCTCATATCCTCACACAATGTTGCAGAGTCTTGTCTTGACTGTTGAACACCCTCTCAACTAGTTTGATAGGGAGACAGTGTTTTCATAGACTGAACCAGTTCGTAGAATCGGTGGATTCGTAGTCCAGACTGGTTCGTAGATGGTGATTTCGTAGACATGTATAAATAATTGAATAATAGTATTTTGTAAACATATTAATTTTTGATAATCACTTGAATTGTGTATAATGAAGATGTCATGCTTTGATGTCACTCCTCGAATACATCATCTGGTGTGTTGATGGTGACGGCAGTGAGTGTTTGTACAGGTAATCTTTGTCGGCGGATCAGACAAAATTACTCTACTCATCATAGTTTCCCGACAGCAAGAAAATAAAGAAATTGTTTTTATTGTTTTCACTGGCGGCTGTGGGTGGATTAACAGGTTTCACTGAGTTGTTGTGAATGTTAATTAGGAAGTCGTGAGTTGTTTTGATGTTGTTTTTTAAATACTGTGTGTATATTGAAGTGTTTTCTTAATTACTTTCGTCATATGAGCGAAATATTCTCAAGCACGACGTTAAACCCAATTTCACCTCATTTCTTAATTACTTTGTCGGTGACCCACCTTATCCTTCTTCTCTACTGCTACTTCTCTGCTGGTGTGCATTTGATGTTTTTTTCGACACTGATGATACTTACCTAGTATATATTTTTTTAATTTCACAAAACTCAATTTCATATATTTATTAGCGGCCTGGAAGTTGTCCCATAGGCGATCATACTTACCTAATATATTTTATTTATTTCACAAAATGCAAATACTTTTCGTTTACATTAAGTCATAATATCGATTTTCATCATCAAAGATGTTGAAGTTTCCCCATTTTACTAACGTCTACAAATCAACTGGATTTCCACGTCTACGAACCAGTCTGGTCTACGAATTCACCTACAGTCATTTGATATGTCATAGAGATTCAACATTTCTGACATGTCTTTTGATTTAAACATATTTATTCAAGAGAATGGATTGGGTACAAGTTATTCCAACTTAGTGAAACCCTCTCTTATTTACAGTGCTTACATGCAAAAGTGAAACAAACTATATGTACAGGACTAGAAATATATGTACAAAAGGAGTATAAGACCTTTAAAATAAAGTAATACATTGAATACATGAATTATTTAGATCATAAACATTATATCCAATTACTGAACCTTTTGGAGTTTGATACATGTATATATTTTGAACTTCTTAAAAAATCTGAATATTGTCACTGTATGGAAGATCTGACATGTCTAATGAACAGTTGGTCCTTAAAACTGTCATTGTCTAAAATTACAGCTACACTATTTTCAACTTGATTGGGGTTTTATGCATCCAGATTGTGAGTGAGTGAGTGAGTTTAGTTTTATGCCACACTCAGCAATATCCCAGCTATATGGCGGCGGTCTGTAAATAATCGAGTCTGGACCAGACAATCCAGTGATCAACAACATGAGCATCGATCTGCGCAATTGGGAACTGATGACATGTGTCAACCAAGTCAGCGAAACTGACCACCCGATCCCGTTAGTCGCCTCTTACGACAAGCATAGTCGCCTTTTATGGCAAGCACATGGGTTGCTGAAGACCTATTCTACCCCGGATCTTCACGGGTCCATCAAGATTGTGATAAGTATGATGATGATTTTGATAACATGTGAATTGAATTTTAACATATACTTACAGGATAAGTTAAAGTCTAAAGGCAAGGCTGGAATACCTTGTCGCTATCACTGCCCAGTGCTTGGCTGCTACTATTACAGAGACAGACACTTTGCTAGCTACAAACTCCTCAAAAAAGGTAAGCAAGGGGCATTTTCAGTTCACTGCAGTAGTGTCCCTAAAACACTTTTTGATGATAGAGTTGGATGTTATTTTAAAAGAATGGCAAAATTTAAATTCATTTGATTGTGAAGTTGATTTGAGAAAAACAGAAAGTTACTGAGCTTACTGTGACACATGTAGGCTTGGATTATGAAAAAATAGCATCCTGAACATAAGCCCATGAAAAGAGACCTAACTTTGTGTATTGTCCAAGTAAATAACAAGTTTAGTTCATCACAATAATTTATATGCAATATTACCGATGACACAATTTTCACATAAATAATTGGATTGCCTCAGTGGTGTAGTGGTTAGGGCATCCTCCTGGAAAGCGGTCGGTAGGTCGCAGGTTCGATCCCCAGCCACGTCATTCAAAAAAACGTTAAAATATGGTACTTGTTGGTCCCTGCCTGGTGCTCGGCATTAATAGGAACAACAAGGACTGGTCGACTCGGAGTCAGTATAATGTGTCTGAGTGGGGTATTCATGCTTCACTGCGGTATGGTATCTCAGTGGGCTAGCACTATAAAACCAGCTCAAATCTGGGCTAGTACAAGCAGCCGCACATACACACTCATGCACGTTGTCATATGAGTGAAATATTCTTAAGTATGACATTAAACCCCATTTCACGTCACCTCATACCGATAATCATTAATAGTTTTTTCCATCTACAATATTTCCAATTGACGATCATTTTAGCCAGCCATTATGAAGACAGATGAGTTGACATTAAGTATGAAGATATCATTATGTGTTTATCTGCAGCACTATGGAAGTATTCATGGAGGCAAGAAGTTCACGTGCTCCAAATGCCAGAAAGCGTTCGGCTTTGACCACGCCAGGAAGCGTCACGAGGGGACCTGTGGTGTGATATACAAGTGTGACACATGTGATTGTCCCTACACCACGAAGGAAGCTCTAATCATGCACTGTAATCGCAAGCAACATGAACTACCAGATGCTGTGAAGGAAACAATGAGAAAATTCAATTCTGAAAAAAATAATTCAGTATGTGCAATTACCGAATTTAAACCCCAGACTTAATTATGGTATTACAATTTGATCACCAAAGGGGTCGTATTTTCATTATTAAGCCCAGACTTAAATACAAGAATTTCTGTTAACTACTGGTTGGGCAGGTTGGGGATATACAATGTTTAAATTTGATATTTCCATTATATTGGTTTGCTGCCTTAATTAATAGGGGCGGCGGGGTAGCCTAGTGGTTAAAGCGTTGGCTCGTCTCGCCGGAGACCCGGGTTCGAATCTCCACATGGGTACCATGTGTGAAGCCCATTTCTGGTGTTCCCTGCCATGATATTGCTGGAATACTGCTAAAAGCGGCGTAAAACCAAACTCAGTCAGTCAGTTATAATTAATAATGCTAAAGTAGTGTAGACCAGTTCACTTTTTCCACCTGACTATTAGCACTAAGGATATCATTTTACAGGCATATCAGGCTTAGGATATCAGACCAGTGCCTATTTCTATCTCTTGCCAGTATGTTTCCACACCATTATAGGTTTTGTGTTTGGTATGATTGTTGGCGTAATGATAGGGGCAGCTAATGTTCTACTTCTCTTCCAGATGTCGGAAACCGAAACCCCCTGACCGCCCAGCAAGTAAATCTGATGTCTGTCCCCAACCCTGTGTGATCTTTGTGTCTCGGATGGACCCCCAGGTCAATACAGCTCCTGGGCCACTCCGCCAGATTCTGCCGAAACCCATGATTAAAACTGTTATCCCCATGACAAGAGTTACTGTCAATTCCAATAAGATATCTGTAGAAAAGTTTGACTTTCCAGCCAAACAGACTGCTGAAATTCAGACGGACATCTATGGTGTCAGTAATCCCTTAGAACAGAGAGCTGTGGTTAAGAATCCTTCAAATTTACATTTGTCAAAGAATGTTGCCATGGCTACCACAGCAACACAGGTTTCACTAGGCAAATCTCACGTTATTGTTCCTTCCAATTCTTCCGTGACATCATCGACCGGGATTCAGACAAATCTAAGCATTCTGTCCACAAAGAAACGTCACTGTTCCATCGCAGAAACCCAGACTCCTGGAGATTTAATTCTTAAGTCAGCAATGGCAAGTGCAGATATTCCTTTCCATGATCTCAGGGGGAATGACAAAGGTCAGAGGTCACCAAGGTCAAAGGGTAAAACTCCAAGGCGGCGCAGCCTCAAGACATCGGAGGTTCAAACACGGGAAACGTTTCCACCACGGAAGAAGAGGAGACGTCGGGAACTCCGGCAGACAGATGGTTGCTGCTGAGTGCAATACAGACAATATTGGCCTCCTGTATCCCACAGCACCGCCTGCTGCCAGAACAGAGCAAACGTCCACTCAGACCCAGAAGAGTTTCTTGGAAGAGTTTGGTCACTACAGGCAGCAACCAGTAAAGAACTCGGAATCACAGACAAGCTTGTCCACATTGTTTAAGAATATGAGAGAGAGCTTACTTACGGAAGAGAATCCAGCCATTTTGTCAGATCTTGGATTAACGTTCAGCGATGGTCAAGACCAGTCTGTGGTTGATGCAGAATGTGGGCCAGGAACATCTCTGGTTGACTCTGGTTGTAGTCCTGGAATACCTTTGGTTAATACCAATCATCAGAGAATGCTGATGGTTGACACTGGATGTGGCCCTGGAATTCCAATGGTTGACTCTAGTTGTGGATCAGGAATGTCCATGGTTGACAGAGGGTGTGGCTCAGGGTCATCCATGGTTGATGCTAATTGTGGGACAGATTCCTTCAGCAGGACTACTCTTCAGTATCAAGGTAGTGGCACACAGACAAATACGGACCCAGATGTAGATTTTCTCTCTGTTTCAACTCCCTGCTTCCTTGAGCTTCTAGAAGGAGATGCATCATCAACATCAGGACTCACATCAGCAGTGTGCTCGGACTCACGTCAGACGAGGTCTCTTGGATCAAACTCACAGTTCCAGCGAGACAGACTTGGTCAGACATCTGTCACAGTAGGCACTAATGGCGATGATGAAAGAAGACTCTCAGAGAATCTGTTGTGTCAGAGGAATCCTCACAATGGCATTCCATTGAGTCCTCCTAAACACATAAACTCAAACCGTGCAGATTCTGATCCGTACACCTCATCCTATTCCTCCTCCACTGCTTTTGGTCGCCATGACTCCCTGGGTCGATCCACCAAGGAGGTGGAGTCTTTAAATGATTGGAATCCTTGCTTGGCATCAACAGCTGCTAAACATATCCACACTCAGACCATGGTGCCAAGGTCTGCTGATTTCGGTGCCCAGACTCCTGCTGCCCGATCTCAGACTCTAGACTTTCTCGACTCCCATGATAATCCTCATATGGAAGGTCAAGGACCAATGTTATCTTCCAGTGCAGGCACGGATATGCACACTCAAACAGCAGACGATCTTCTAGACTTCCTCATGACAAATATGGAGACACAAACAGACGATCTGTTCATATCCGGACTCGGTTTATCCGATATTGAAACTCAGACACCGGCAGAGAATGATTCCCTGGATACCCTAGTGACCACGGAGACTCAGACAAACATGCAGTCGTTGGTACACGAGGAGAATGATCTCACACTCTTCACCGACATGCAGACTCAGACACAGTTCAATGTCGTGGAATTCAGCTCAAATGATCTCACAGACTCTCATACTCAGACAAACTTTGAACTTTTCAGCTTGTGATATGTTGGCAATGTGCAAACAGTTTTGCTAGTTAATAAGATTGACGGGTCAACTTTAAATCTTTACACAACAGTGTTTAACTGTATGCCTATACTTGCCAAGATTGGCCAAAACTGTTTGTGTAATTGCAGATACACCAAGAAAAATGTGAGTACCGTATTTCCTCTAATAAGCGACTGGGTGCCCAACCCTTATTACGCTTACTGGGTGTACCGTAATTAATTGTTAGTGAACGCTACATCAAAGTTGAAGACCATTTCTAAATAAATCCATTTTTGGATCAAGGGAGAATACATTCATAAAAATGTACCCAGTGCTTATTACAGACCCGACTCTTATTAAGGTCTCTGCGCTTTCTTAAACTGCCGCTTAGTCCCCGGCGCTTATTAGAGACCCAGCTCTTATTAGAAGAAATGCGGTATCACTAACTTATGCCCTGCTTCAGACAACAATGCATTTATTTATTTATTTGTTACATTTCACTGCTGATGAAAATTATTGAAATGGTTGGAGAGTGGTGACATTGGGGTTCAAATCTCAGTCATAAAATTACACTGATCCAAATCTGTTATTATCACAAATCATTCAAGTACATAACCTTTACACGAATAGACTGTCGGTGATGAGAGCTTTGTGGCTGTAATAGACAAAACAGTACAGCTAGCTTGAGTTTGATTTGCCTCAGGTAACCAAATCCATAAGATTTTCAACAATACCTATCATATATGTGCTTTTGCTATAATTCTTTATTATTTATTTTCTATATAACTTTAGACAGTAGAACATTTAATGAAATGATGCAATGTCTGTTTCTTAAAGTTTACTTCAAATTGTATACTGAAATGTTGTTTCTCAAATATCCTTAGCTTGTTTAACCATAGCTCGCGATAACAGCTCAGAATATTCTAGGTAGACATTTTGAATTTGTTCGAATAATATTTTAATTTAAAAAAGAAAGAATCTTTAGCCATAATTAACACATTACATTTGTGATTTGGTAGACTGACTGACTGAGTTTGGTTTTACGCCGCTTTTAGCAATATTCCAGCAACATCACGGCAGGGGACACCAGAAATGGGCTTCACACATTGTACCCATGTGGGGATTTGAACCCGGGTCTTCGGCGTGACGAGCCAACGCTTTAACCATTAAGCTACCCCACCGCCCGTGATTTGGTAGATGTTGATGTCACATGAAAGACTCACCACCAGCCTTTCTTCTTTCAAGTTTTGGAGGGGTGGGTAGCCTTGTGGTTAAAGTGTTTGCTCGTCACACTGAAGACCTGGGTTCTATTTCCCACATGGGTGAAGCCCATTTCTGGTGTCCCCCGTCGTGATATTGCTGGAATATTGCTGACGGTAGTGTAAATCATGCACTCAGAATGGGCTCAGTCTGATATTCATGCCATACCAGAGTCTCCCATTCTCTGTCCTCCAGGGATTATATTTTTGTTAACCGACACTTGCCATTGCTCATGTTGATTTGTTTTTGTGCAATACTTTCATAGCACTTATATTTATCCCTATTTTGTGATATTATTTATTGATACATAATGAAACAGTTTTATATTTTAACTTGAACAAGTATTTGATCAACTTTCAAGGGATCGGATCATTTGTTGTTGATAGTATGAATTGTACGAATCTCAACGTACATCTTATTTACACAGCCAGTAATCAGAGTAGATTCGTTTGGTCTCAGACTGGCCAGGATGAAAGGTGCACTTTCAGTTATATTTTGTAAGAAAATGCACCTTCAAGATGAGTGATATCCAACAACCCTGCACCCTTGCACACCTTCACATTCATGGTGTGGGATATTATGGGATATTGTAGTCAGCTTGTCTGTCCATTCATAATCATTTCTACCTGGATCACATATCACACACTTATTGGTATTTTTTCATAGAACTTTGTACCCACAAACACCAGCTTGTTGACAGGTGCATATTGCTATTTAGAGATTTTTAGAAAAGACAATGAAAATTTCTTTTGCACAACAACAGGTTTGACTTTGATTTTGGGCACAGTTGTCCGCTGGTACTTTTCTTCTTGACAGAATTCGATTATTTTGTGAAATCCATTATCTCATATCATTGGAGAAAAGAGCCTGACATACAAAGTTCTGAATCCCAATGCCATGGTATTGTTACGTAGCTCAATAACTACCCTAGTATATAGACAGAGGAATCGTGTAGGAACAGACTCTTCGAGTTGGCCAGATCACTCTTGCAGGACTTGCTATAACAATCAGATGATTGTTGTTTCAAATTTGTGGGCGCCAGGGGGATTTGTCATCTTTTGATGGCTCTAGGGGCGGTGGGGTAGCCTAATGGTTAAAGCGTTGGCTCGTCACGCCGAATACCCGGGTTCGAATCCCCACATGGGCACAATGTGTGAAGCCCATTTCTGGTGTCCCCTGCCGTGATGTTGCTGGAATATTGCTTAAAGCGGCGTAAAACCAAACTCAGTCAGTCAGTTTGATGGCTCTAATTCTTTGAGTAGTCAAACTTCATAACAGGGTCCATCTGATGTGTTCAGGGTTTGTCAGGTCTTGACCAGATAGGTTTTCATATCGTAAAAAATGTATATTGATCTTCAAGTTTATTACATCATTGGATATTGATCCAAGATCAGGGTTCTGCTGACATGACTTCATAACAAGGGTTGATCAGAACTTGACGGGAAGTTTCATATCGTGGCCATAGAGATCATCCAGCTTACAACCCTGGATAGTGATCACAGATACTGGTAGGTGTTCTGCTGATTGCAAACAAAATTTGGAGTAAATAAGGTTTGTAGATTTAAATATAGACTTAGGCTCTGTAACTCACCACATATATTTCTGGACTGTTTGCGACTCGGATTAAACAGGTCGTTATGTAGAGTCATCCTTCGCAATATCGTCCTTTGTGATACGGCAGGGTAATCTATGTTCCCAGCAACCATGATCTCATATATAACATGTATCCAGTTAAGTCCCCAAGGTGCTGAGTGTATGTTAATTATTGTTATACATGTAGGTAGAAAAATGCATTATACTAACACGACAGCAATATGTGTTATCCCTGTTATAAGAACTGTTTACGATATAAATTCTTTTGATAATGGAATAGAAATTCTTTGAAGTTGATCATTTTTAACTAGTGTCCTTACAATATATGGATAAATAACTTCTATATTGCTGTTCTAACACTGTGATCATCTCTTGCTTGATAACGGTGTTAGAGGTGAGGTGAGGTGAAATTGGTTTAACGTTGTGCTTGAGAATGTTTCGCTCATATGACGACGTGCATGCGTGTGTATGTGTATGTGCGGCTTCTTGTACTAGCCCAGACTTAAGCTGGTTTTATAGTGCTAGCCCACTGAGAGAACCATGCCGGTTTGAAGCATGAATACCCCACTCAGACACATTATACTGACTCCGAGCCGACCAGTCCTTGTTGTACCCATTAATGCCGAGCGCCGATAACAGTGTTAGAACCTTCACCAAAACGTTGCTCTCACAGCAATATAGAAGTTGTTTCCTTATCCTGACTCATGCTCTTTTGCTTGTCTTCTTCTTCTTGCGAACATAGTGGAACACTTGTATCTCCTTATTTGAAGCTCCCTTCAAAATAAAATCACTAATTGGTACTCACCACGAGTTGCTCCCCTTTGTCTCCCCTGGCGGAAAAGGTGTAAGCCACCCTCTGGCCATGTGCTTCACTCTCTCCTTCTTCGCCCAGTGAGCAGGATGTGAGAGCGCCTTGTGTCTCCTTACACACATATCCTTTGATAATCTCTTAGTTTTTACCTCTCATAGGTTACTATAGAGGTATAGCTAGTATCCTTTACTATTTGTATTGATTAATTATCATTATTTCTACTGTTTATTCCGTGTGTATTAAGTGATTGTTCAGCTAACTTCGTTCATGAAAATCTATGCGATTTGTAGATTACGTTTTCTGCCTCCGATCCACATGTAATATGCCCTAGTTGTTCTCGCCGTGTGCGTTTAATTCCGTTGCAGTTACTGCATTAATTTATCTCATTCTGCATTTAATAAATATCATCTTTGCGTCTTAAGGCGTGCTGCAGATAGATCAAAAAACAAGGGCAAAACATGGCAGAGAGTCAGATATTCCTTCCAGTCAGCTGCTAGCGATCGACCCTCTCCCGTCTGGTGTTCTGCTAGAGACCCCTGCGGCAGAGGAGCGTGGGGCGCCATCCGTTACCTCGAAAAAAGCGACCGGCCTCCCCAGACATCCCGTCATTGCAGACTAAGTCTAAGAGGGCCTCATCGTCGTCTCAGCGCAGATTGAGGACACCCAGGGCAGCGCCAGACTTCCAAAGGGAAATCTGAAGACAGCAAGAACTTTCTCAGCGAGATCGTTCCAGCAGCAGAGTTGGGCCTCTCGATGATCAGCCGATAATCATCCCGACTTCACGGCAGAAGAAGCGACCCGGTGTCAGCGACTGTGACTTCTGCAGAGATCTCCATGCAGCCTGATGCCTCTACACCGGCGTCAGGCGTCATTGATGTGAACCCCATCGCAGAGAAAGGCGCCCGGCGACTTCGTCTGAATCATCCCAGAAGACATGATCGCGGCAGATTATGAACATCATGGAGGACCACTACAAACTGCGCCAAGCGAAGTCCGAGCGCGAGCGAAGGCTCCAGCGTGAACACACACCCAGAGGCACCCCGTCAGCGTAGCAGCCAAGGCGATGTCACCTTCGAAGGAAGTCCGCACCACCTTGGCGAAGGACCTAGATGTACAGCCTTGGCGAAGGCCTTGGCGAAGGCGGGAGAGATCATCACCATCTTCGATTTCATCTCTAGATATGGACTCAGACCATCAGACATCCGGAAGCCTTCGCGAAGGTCATATCATCGATCCCCGGACGGGGCGCAAAATGAAGCTTGCGAAGGCATTCGCGAAGGACATATGATTCAGATCTTCATCGTCTAGAAGAACATCGAGGGACTGCCGAAGAGCTTGCGAAGCTATCAACATTCACCTCACAAGTCTCGAGAAGATCATCCCATAGGCGATCTCCACTCCGTTCATCACCAGATTCGATCACCCATCAGATCTCCACATAGAAGCGGCACAAGTCAACTAGATAAATACAAACCTCATCAGATATACAGACAGCTACCGCGGTCGAAGAGCATCTACAATTTATTAATGATGATGGTTTTGAGGATGATGGAGGAATCATATTTTCTGATGCAGAATCACGGTATTGGATGGTCAATAACCTAGATCTCACATCACCATCTAAAAGTGGCAATACAGCTCAGGCGTATTTGATGAAGGAAGATGATCCAGATGCAATCACTCTACCCCGATCGACCCGATTGCGGCAGTGCCACAGAATCTAGATGCAGCTTTCCAGAAAGCTCACGAAAGTTCAGATACCACATCTACCCAACTTTCAAGCCAAGAAGTTCTCCACGCATAACATGGACTCCTTCTACAAGGCCCAGGACATCGATGAGAACTATAAGATCATCAGCGATGTAAAGAACAAGATTTACAAGATGGATGATGCATAAGTTGGCTCATATAGAAACCATGGCGAGGCGTATGTTCTTTGGGTTAAATAGATCTAGGGCGATCAATGAGACTCTTATTACTAGATTCGGGATTCCACGGCGGAAGATGATAGAATGATTTATTCTGCCTTACTTATGCAAAGAAAGATCAGCAGTTTTTAGCGGATCATCTTACATCTGTTTCAGCAGCACTGACCTTAGCTTCGTCGTCAAGGCCTCCTGCGCCTCCTGTAATTGGGGGAGAACTTTACAGCCCACTTTATACAGCCCGTGGTCGACAACATCCATCTTTGGCGGAGAAAATCGACAAAGATTAAGCCAAGGAAGTCTCTAAGGATTCCAGGGAAGTCCTTATGATTAGATCGATGGACACACTAGCCAGCGTCATTAGTCAGACTTCACAAAGATACTCAGGCAGATCTAAGTTCACGGGCCTACAAAGAGCAAGAGAC